GTATGTATGGATCACTTGGGTTGTTACCAACATCTGGTGAAAATTTCATGTCATTAGCACCTCCAGTAATATATTTACTGAGAAAAATGGTGACGTGTTCAATACTTATTTTACCTGCTGTAAAGACGAGACAATACAAGACATCCAGTCTGTCTTGTCCTCTTCGACCCAGTTGTCCTCTGGTGTGTTTGAGTTCTGTCTTCCTGATCTTCACTAAAACAGACTCCTTTCTATCAGACCTGGATTTGGTTTTCTGAAGACAAACCTGTACGACCCGAGGACAACTCAGGGTCGAGTCTAGTGTTGGACTTGTTGGACCACAGAACCTGCACTGTTCAGAAGGAGACCTGAGTTTGGATCATAAAGTCCTCTGATTACCTCATTAGTTGTGTACATAGATGAGAACCCCTGACAGAGCTCTGTCTGTGAAGCTTTATAGCCGAGTCAGCAAAATAATGACTTCAGAAGCTGGTCTAGCAGCGAAGAGTTTCCTCCTCCTCCTCCTCGTTCTGTCTGCTTCAACAAACAGCTCAGGGCTTCTGTGGGATGTTGATGACTTTTCTGCACAAACTAAACGACTTGTGAGAGTCCTGCAGGTGGGTGTGCAGATTTTAAATGTCGACAGAAAATATAAAGTTAGAAATGAAAGTGAAACTTCCTGACACTGTGAAGGAGTTTATTAATAAAAAGGTCAGACCCCTGTTTCTGGAAACACCACGAATGTTTGAAATGTTTCAGCTGCGATGTTTCAGCTGCTTGTTTTGTGGTGTTTGGAGGTTTTTTTTTTCCCTGAAATATTAAAGATTTAGCGGTTTCCGTGTTTCATGTGTCTGTTTGCAGTGCTGAGCCCGCGTCCCGTGGCGGCAGCCTCGCCCAGACGGTGCCACACCATCTACAAGGGCTTCGCCCACTGCCTGATGACGCTGGGCGACAGTCTGACTAGCTCCGCCCACAAAGACGAGGACGCACACGAGATCCACTCCATCTGCAGGTGACCCTCTGACACCACGGGAAACCGATGACTCATCAGTCATATTGTGTGAATGCTGAGTCAGCATTATTTTACTTAGACATTTCTTTTGTTTTCTTCTGCAAACTTTCAGCTTATTAACTCAAAACCTTTGGCTTGTTCAGGACATCACAGCTACAACTTTTAGGTTTTTGTTATTTTTATACCTACCGAATTATTTGCCCTCGTTTGCATAATTTCATTTAATGAAAATGCGTTAAGATTTTTCTTTTTGAAAACTGACATCTACATCAGCATATTTGCTTCTCATTTAGCTTTAAGTTACCGTTTTGCTAATTATAGCTTTTAGTACTTGTTCTAATAGTTTTAGTATTTATCTTTTATTTAGCTACTCTTTTAATAGTTTTACCTTTTAGCAAATTTATTTGATAATTTTAGATTAATTTTAGTTTCATTCTGTTAGATTCAGCTTTTAGCTATCCTTTAGCTGGTTCCTTAATTTTTATATTTACTCTTTTGCTGGTTTTAGCTTTTAGCTATGGGTCTACTAGTTTTAGCTTTTAGGTACTGTTCTTCTAGTTTTAGCTTTTAGCTACTCTTGCTGGTTTAAAAGTTTGATTATTGTTTTGCTGATTTCAGCAACCAGCTACTAATTTAGGTTTTAGCTATTGTTATCTTAACTTTTACCTTTGTCTACTGTTCTGTTAGTTTTAGTTTGTAGCCACTGTTCTGCTAGTTTTAGCTTTTAGCTACTCTTGCTGGTTTAAAAGTTTGATTATTGTTTTGCTGATTTCAGCAACCAGCTACTATTTTGATTTTTAGCTATTGTTATCTTAACTTTTACCTTTGTCTGCTTTTCTGTTAGTTTTAGCTTTTAACTAGTCTCAATACTCAACTTTTGGCTGTTGTTTTGCTGATTTTAGCATTGAGCTACTATTTTAGGTTTTAGACTGAAACGATTAGAGAAACGTTTTTACTTTTCCTCAGAGTTCATCTGTTTTTCAATCGTTGAGGCCAGATCAGATCAGGAATCAAAGCTTTTACTCCAGAAGTCTTCATCTCAGAGAAGTTTATTTTCCGAAGGCAACACCTGAAAGAGGAACGGCTGAACGACGTGCTTTAAAACAGAACGAGGTGCAGATGAGCTGAAATCACTTCGGGGACGAAATGACATTTCATTTATGGCATGTTTTATTTCTGACTCCTCGGTGTTATTACCGGAATAAACGAGAACAAATCAGCCGTAAACTCATTTCGTAAAATCTCTAATTTACCTCCTTTGAGATTAAAGATGCAGCAGAAGGAGGTCGTTTTATTCTGCAGGACAGACCAGAACATCTCCTCATGAGCATCAGAAACTTAACTCTTTACTCCCTGTAATTTACCGGAGTTTTACTGTACGGTTAATTCACAGGGAGGAGTTATATGATTGTAACGGTTCTGAAAACATCACTGTGAAAAACATCTGTCAAACTTATTACTATTGTTTTTACCAAGAATTCTTAGAGGTTTGAACCATTTTCCTGGAGTCTAGAGATCTGCTTTTATCAGTGTGCATTGCCAATGCAATGCACACTTGTGATTCGTTTCCCATCCAAGTCATCTCAAATTTGCCATGCTTCTCCTCCTGCATACTTTGTCCTAGAGCTGCCGTTGTAATTTATATCTGTAAAGCTCCTGTGCCAAATGATGGCTATGCTTTTTGGTGCCTGTAAAACTTATAGTTTATGAAATATTAATGTTTCCTAAATTATAATGGCAGTCAATGGGCCCTTGTAATTTTCCAATACTGCCCCCAGCTCTACTCAACTTGGTACTGCACCATAGTTTTTTTATATTTATTCTCAATACTTCAGTGTTTACAATACCAATATGATTGTATTTTGATGTTTTACTATATCATTATCTTAATACTGCTCTATTGTTGTAATATTATGCAGTTTAGTGTCAATAATTGTATTGGCAATGTGGCCTATTTCTGCACACATACAAACCAACCCCTGGCACCACCCCCTGCCACAGCTCCAACAGTCTAAAGGGCTCGACACACGGGAGGCGACGTCGCTCGCTCTCCATTCATTTCCTATGGAGCCTGTGCAGTGAGGCGACAATCGCTTGCCCTCCTCCAGCTAGGCGACCAGCGAAAATAGTGCATGTGAAATTTCGCGTTCGTACACGTAGACGTGCACACGCGAGCTTGCAACGCGACATATGAAAGTTGAAAAATGTTCAACTTTTGTCGCTGTCGCTTAGCGTACAACCAATCAGCGAGGGTTTCATTGACCGACCAATGAGAGGAGAGTATGCTACACACTGCAGTTAGCTAACACTTTCACCAAGTGATTACTAAAAAGCTTTGTGGGAATTTATTGGCACCAGGGTGAAGTTTATGGTAAGTTTTTTTTTTTCTCATAAAACTGTATCTTGATGTGTGTTTGTTTTTCAATATCATTAGCATCGCAAGATTTGTTTAGTCCGTTTGTTTAGTTTACACGTCCGTAATGCACACCCGCCTTCAGAGTCAAGAACCAATCAAATTTTGTGAAGACAAGCGATCTGAGAGCGCGATTCGTAACGCTGCAATCGCTATCACGTCCCGTGTGTCGGGTTTCACCCTGGCTGCGATGAAGCCGTTAATCTCTGTAGTTTGTCGCTGCCCGTGTGTCGAGCCCTTAGTGGTCTATGTCATGGACTTTCATGTGGGAGATCAGGGTTCAAAACCCAGCTAAAAGCAGCTTTAACAAAAAATCTCTTCAAACTTCATATTGTCACACAATTACCTTAATTACAAACACCTGCTGACGTGACAGGCACAAGCTGGTATAGAAAACACATTTGAACTTGGTCAAAGTTCATTCTGAAAGTCCACTGCTGCAGGCAAAGGCATGCTGCAATGACATGCTACAAGGCAATGCACACTTGTTTTTACATCGTAAAAACCCATGTCTAGTCATGTGTTTTTATCAAATTAAACCAGTTTCAATGAAACTAAATCACTAAATATGATGACGGTTTGGTGAATTCTTGGCGTTTTGTTAGTGCAATTTAATATTTTCGTTGTTTGTTAGAATGTTTTGGTTTTTTGTTTGTTCTGTTTAGTGCCTGGTTAGCCTGGCTGGTTTTGCTCAGTCCTCAAAAATCCACTTCTGGATCCTCAAAAACCAAAATAAACACAGAAATAATCAGCAAATGATAAACTTTTGGACTTGTCAAGATGGCTAATCTGCTGATCCTAAAAGATAAAATTTGGAGTTTTCGCTGTTGGCAGGAAAGTTGGATTAGAACTACAGAAACCTATTTCTTATAAACAAAACAAAACAGATACTGAGGAGTAAACACATGAGGAGAAAACAGAATATTCTTAATTTGATTCTTCAGACTTTGACTTTAGTGTTAAGTTTTGGGTTCTGTTCATCTGCTTGTCTGTTGCAGTTACAGCAGGCAGACGTTTCTCATCTTTTGTTTCCAACTTTTAATTAACTTTTTTTTAGTTTCTCTGCATCGTTTTTATCTCTGGACGCTGAGAGACGTTTAAATTCTTCTTATTGTTGGACTCAGTTTGGCTGAAAGACGTTTCATTAAAATGAGTAAAGAACTGGTTCAGTATGATTCTCTTACAATAACAACTGTGTGTGTGTGTGTGTGTGTGTGTGTGTGTGTGTGTGTG